GAATCGCCTGACGAGGTGACAGCGCTGGAGAGCCGCGTCAAGGGCATGATAAACAAGAACATCAGCCTCACCATCGTGATCCAGGTGATGCTTTTTCGCCGGATTCTCCCTTGTCAACGCCGGACTCAATACATGTGGGAATTCGACTCGACCGGTCCTTGGACCCTGCAGCGGTTCTTCGGCACGACCCATGAAGACATATGGAATCTGCTCTTCAAGACTTAAAAGTCGTGGCCGGAGACAACCGAAGGTCGCGGCCTTGACCACGCACGCCCAGCTACTCCCGTAAGTTTTTATGATAACTTTTATTTGAAAATACAAGGGGTATACTGAACTTTCTGACTCTCACAGGGCTGGACAAAGAAGGCAAAGCAGATCAAATGTCCGGCTCCGCTACCCGAGGACCAGGCTACTCCCTTGCCGGCCAAGAGGTTGGTTCCGGCACCGTATCAGACGCCGGAGAAGAAGGCCAAGAAGAAGGGCAAGGAGACCAGAGGTGGCCTCCGTCGTAAGGGTACTTCGGACGCCATGTCCGAAGGCTCTGAAGCCTCCTCCTCCCATGACGAAGACGTAGAGGAGGAGGAGAGTAACTCTCCCCCCAAGGGGGAAAAGAAAAGGGGGCTTCCGCGGATCTGGAGGCGGAGGCGGCCAAGAAGGGAAAACCCTCGTTTTCGGATGATTCCGAAGCAGATGCCAATGCCACACCAAAGCGGCGCCCCAGGCCGAAGCCCTCGGCTGAATCGTAAGTATCCGAAGACACCATATACATATCCGATTTTATGCCTTATTATTTTATCATACTGAAGTGCGCATTATAGCCCGGCTCGCGATCTCCCCCAACGGTCATCGTCATCTGGGAACTCGCTAGGGACGAATGCGATGGAGAGTGAGTCGCCTCCGCACATCTCTCCACCCACTGCCCAGGATAACACCGAAGTGTTGTCTCGGGAGGCCGTGAAGGTGGCGGCGGAGGGTAATACCTCTGGTGCCGAAGAGAGGGGGGAATCAACTCCCATGGAGACCGGCAATGGACGCTCAATTCGGCCCCCAATCGAATATTATTCCGGAGACCCATACGGCTCCGGAATCGGACCAGTAGCCTTCTTCAAGAGACGGGGGCGTGCCGTCTCCACCGACATCATCTATCAATCCAAAGGCGCCGGACATTCTGATGGAAGCGCTTCAAAGTGCTTCCATTGTGGAGGAACATCGTACCCTTATGGGTACGGTGGTTGAAAAGGTTCGGTCCGCTAAAAGCGGATCGAACCAAACTTACACCAGCCTTCTAACAGGCTTTAATACATGTGAACTAATATATTTTTGGTTATTTATGAAAGGAATACCTGTATATAGATAGCAGCCCCTGAGACTCTGTTCGGTGTTTCACGAAGAAGGGTCAAACAGAGGATCGAGTAAAACTTCATAGGAGCTAACATATATGTCTACTTGGATGAGCAGGCTGCGAAGCTGGCAGCAGCTTCGCATGCGGCCAAAGTCTCCGAACTAAAGCGGAGGCTGGAGGCAAAACAAGGTATGTTATACGGAAGCAGATATGAACTGATATGAGTTCCATTTTGTTAACTGACTGAGCTTTGTATTTATGCTCAAAGTTGACACATCTGAGGTCGAAACCCTCAAGAGTGCGTTGGTCGAAGCCAAAAAGGAGGTGGATGAGGAACGAACCGCCCGCCAAAAGCATGAGGCAAGGTTGGACGAAGTCCAACAAGAGCTCACAAATGCTATAAGAAAATGCGAGTCTTTGGAGCGCGAGGTGTTAGAGCGAGACTCTGAACTCGCGACGGCGCTCCATAGTGCAAAGGAGGCCCAGGTTGAAGCCCAAGGCGCGTGTCAGGAGATCCGAGAGGCCAAGCAGATCGCGGTGTGTAAGGTTTTTAATATGCAGAGCAAGTTCATAAGGAGAAAGTACTCCTTTGTGACACACATTTGGAGTTCTCGAGGAGCATTTGCGGATCTGCCCCGAAGTGTTGCAGATGCTGCAGATTTTTTCCGAGCCGAAGAGGGGAGCACAACACAGAAACTTTTCTGGTCATAGTACCTTGAGCTAGAGCAGCCCTTGCCCCTCAGCGACCAGCTGAAACAGCTGATCGAGCTACATAGGATGGCCGAACTGGCCATGAAGGATGTCATAGTCCGTCTTTGGCCAGCCGAACCAATACCTGACAGCTACTTTGGGCATGGGAAGCGGTTGGTCAATGCCTGCCCACGGTTATATGCTATAAAGCGGTCGGTATGCATCGAAGGTGCTCGGATGGCCTTCGCCCGTGTCAAGGTACACTACTAGGAAAAACCTTATACACAGAACTTTAGTAGAGCGCTTGTTGAAAAAGCACGCTACTGCTAATTAAAAGTAGCACAGGCAAAAAAATGCGCTACCGGTGCAGAATAGTAGTAGCGCCGGCACTGAAAACCTGCGCTGCTGCTAACTGATTTTCACCATACACTCCCGATGGACGATAGTAGTAGGGTTGGGTGTAAAACCTGCGCTACTACTCCCTTCATCCGGAAATACATGTCATTGAAATGAATGTATCTAGATGTATTTTAATTTTAGATACATCCATTTTCATCCATTTATGCGACAAGTATTTCCGGACAGAGGGAGTATTTGACAGATATCTGTAGCGCCGGTGGGCACTCCGCGCCACCGCTATCCCACCAACGGTCCCACTCCACTCTCCCACACCACGTACCCACCCCCATCCAAATCTAGATCGAAACCCCCTCTACCGGCGGCCTCCCCTTAACTCTTCCTCTTCCTCTTCCTCAACCTCATCTCCTCTCCTCTGCTGTCAACCCCGACAAGAATTGAGAAAGTGAAGGCCGCCCTACGCCGTGCAACGGGGATATAGCCACCCGCGCACACGGCAAACTATCGCTCGGCGTCTCCAGTAATCAAGCAGCCGCTCGACCGTCAGCGAGCGATTGATGTGCGGGTGGGCGGGCGGCAGTGTTGTTGCTGTTGCTTTTGGATTGCATCAGTCGCTGACGGGCAGTCTATCTTGTGGGTTGCAGGAGGGGAGGAGGGGGACGAGGATGGTGCGTGTGCGGAACATCTTAGATCTGGCTGGGGAGCGGGAGGTGCGCGAGTTCTTGTCCTTCTTCGGCGAAATCGAGCACGTCGACATCAGCCCGTGAGCACCGGCTTCCTTCCTTTCCTTCTCTGTTCCAATTCCCCTGCCACTTGTCCCGTCTGTCTAACCGCATGGCGATTTTGGGCTTACTGCTGCAGTGACGTGGTGGCGACTGGGAGGACGGCCTACGCCACCTTCAAGGACGTCGAGGGCCCTAGAGATAACGCTGCTGCTCTCGGTATGTATGGCCTCGCGCAATCATCCAACTGTTACTTTCATTTGTGCAGTGGAGGTGTTTATGCAATCTGGTTGTGCTGGTATTTTCAATTGCTATCTATAATGAATGATTCTCTGCACTGTCAATGTCATTGTTGAACTATGAATAGCGTGGTAGGTATACACAGCTGTTATGGCTTATGCATTGGACCTAATTTTTTTTCTTCGATATCAATGCTGAAGTGTATTTCGCTGGAAGAAAATTAGGAAGACGCTTTTGTCTGTTATCTCTGATATATTGCACTTCGGGTGGATGTGGAAATTCAGCCTCCATGCGGCGGCGTCTCTTCCTTCCCTGTCGTCGTCGAGGTCCGCCCCTCTGTGCCGCAACGGTAAGCACGCACGCATGCCGCCGCTCCCATGCCTCTCTCCCCGTCCCTCTCCGGCAGTTCCCTTCGTCGGCGGTGGCGGGGAATCAGCCCAGCGGACTGGAGTACCCGTTTGGTGCGGGGTTATAACCGATTTGGCCTTACGGTGGCGAGCGCCGATCGATTGATTGATCGATCAAGCCCCTGATGTTGTGCTCGCTCCGCTCTGTTTGTTGTCCCTCATCTAGCGCTTACTAGTTTTGTTCATGCTCTGTTCGGTGTTATTTTATTACTGTATTGGGAGGGATATAGTGCATTGCCACCCAGTAAATTACGAGAAAACCCATATAAATCATTTTTCCCAGTCATAGTTATTTTTTACATAGTGCGTTGATCCTAGAGTTGCTGATGCGTTGGCGAAATTCCTGTGAATGGCATAATTACTTACACTAGCCACCTCTTGTTGGCTATCGCAGCAGTCTCATCTCTTGAAGGATGCATGAGGCTCTCTCATGCTGAAGGACATGATGCATGCCATGTATCGATGTATACTGTTGGAATTAATCAATCAAGTTGTACTTAATCTATACATGGTCAAGTAGTATTCCTAATCCTATTTAGTTAGGTTCTTGAGCTGCTATCCGGTAAGAAAAAAGGAAGTGCGCGTTACCAGCCGGCGAATCGATCTAGCTGATTGTGTAGCTAGCTAGCTTCCGAAAGGGTAAGGTATGTAGTACACGTCCAAGATGATCTACGGAAGAAGATATGTTGCTGCCATGTATCTCCAGATCGCCTCTGTATCTTGAGATTGGAAACATAATTTCTTTCCTTAATGGCATAGGTGTGTTATTTTTTTTGAACACAGCAAAGGTTTGTTATTATATTCTATGGATGTTGTATGCGTATCTTCAGATCAGAAACAAAACGTTTTCTTTTTCATAATGGCATAGGTGGGTTATTTATCTCAACTTTAATGCCAAAGAGATATTATCAAAATCTAATGGCTATTGTTTTACCGTGTGTTAAATTGATGGCCAGCCGTTTCTAATTGTTGTTTGATTTTCTAGGATAATTCTCTAATTTGACCCATATTTTCTTTTTAGTATATAATAGAATAGATTTTGCAAAGCAATGTTTACTTTGAGTGTAATTGTAGTGCCATTTTTATCTTTCAATGTACAACGACGGTCTTGCTGCACTTGTGCTAGTCAGTGGGGAGAAAGCTAGGAACCTTGGCCTCCAAGTTCTTGCAAGGATCAGAGGGTATGCTGATGTTGCTTAGGTAAATCTTACATGTCTCTTCATTAATCTTTTTGGTGAAACAAATGTCTTTTTGGCACATTGTTCTTGTTAATGAAGACTGTTACCGACATTATCCTTTCATGTGTCTCAAAACTATCAACCTGGCAAATTGAATGATATTTTTCTTGTTATTATGCATTACAATGAGTTCATTATTAAGATCCCTTACAACTTTAGGCACCTCAGCTATTTATAGGAGGGGACCCAACCTTCGTGTCTCGCGGCAGTGTCTTCCTTGGATTTGTTCATGCAACAAGGAGGGGACCCGACCTTCTTCATGCCTCGTGCAACAAGTAAGGACCAGCGTTCGGCTATTACTCTTGATTCATGTGCATGTGCAAAAAAGAAAGAAAATACAATACTAGATTTGGACATGGACGTGAACCAATAAGTGTTCACTTTCTCGACGTGGGTGCAGGGGTGATCGAGGCGGATTACCATGCCCTGGTGGGTGTCGTGCTCTTCAACCACTTGGAAGCGGACTTCGCCGTGAAGCCTGGCGATTGCTGCACATAGATGATCATCCAGGTGATCGTGACGTCGGAGGTCACCGAGGTGGAGGTCCTCGATGCCTCCGTCCTGGGGGAGGTCCACCGGCGTCTGAACTCCAAGCTTTGGTAGATACATCTATAGAAGTGGTCTGTTTAGGTTGGTGGTGGAACGCTAGGGAAGGTACCCACCTTTCGATGATGGTTATGTTCGTCTGATGTTAAATGGGATGTCTGTGATTTCTTCCAGTTGAGATGTTGTTCCGTGACATGAGTTTATTTTGCATTGGATGTGTTTCTGATTTCTATCCATGAATATTGTATCTAAATTTTATTTTTTTAATTCCTAATTAGCTAGTGGTAGCGTGGGCGAAAAGTGCATGCTACTAGTACTTAGGATAGTAGTAGCGTTGGTTGAGATAGTAGTAGCGTGGGTGGCTAGATAGTAGTAGCGCTGGTTGAGATAGTAGTAGCGTGGGGCCACCCGCGCTACTACTAACAGAAGTAGTAGTAGCGTGGGTGGCACCCGCACTACTACTACTAGTAAGCTGTAGCACGATACTAGTAGCGCGGGTACCCGCGCTACTGTAGCCAATTTACCCGCGCTACTAGTAGCCTTTTTCCTAGTAGTGCTACAATGGGCGAAGATGAATGCCACCAGTCTTGCAACCGAAGGAGCGCCCGCAGGCAAGGAGCATTGTACGCCAGAGAAGTATTTCAACGACGTCCTTGAAGGATCCCGCATTATAGAGGGCCTGTGTTCGAAGGACATCATTTTTGAATGAATGTATCTATGATGCCCAAACTTTGTAATGAAAACATAGCCTTTGTATATTTTAGTCTTGTTTCCTCTGAAATTATTTATCCTCCATTGCGGCCATTTATTAAATCTGAGAGTTGGCCAGTCATCGGCTTCAGCCCCTCGCGTAGATACTATGGGGTTGTTCGGAGTAGCACAAAAGCACACTTAACCCAACGATTTGGTCCTTGAAGGAGGTGCTAGTGCGGCAAACCAGGCAATCAGACTATGCGGCTTTATCACTCTCACTTAGCCATAGGAGTTTGACAATAAGGTTGTAGACGCAGCCCCTGGTATTGTTCAGCTACCCGAACTTGGGTGTTGTAGACACCTGACCAGGTAAAAACCAGTCCTTTGTATGACACGGAAAAAATTGCAAGAGATTTGTACTGAGTCACCGAATAGCCGACCTGCTCTCGCCGCATTATGACAGTCAGTTTTTGGCTTTCTTTACTGAGGTGTTCATCCGGCCAACCAAAAACACAATCGCAGTAGTTTTCCCTTTACTTTTTAGCCGAACAATCGGAACGTAAGGTGGTAATCACAGGAGCCGGGCAACCCAACTATTGACCCAAGATATGATTCGGAGCTGATGAATATAATGCTCGATTCGGGACGCCGAATTGCACTTGTGAAAGTGTTCGGACTTATGGTAAATTTAATTAATGTACACAGCTGAATGAGGCCCCTGGTGATTTAGGTCAAGCCGAGGTGTACATGACAATCAGATGATAAAGAAGACGAAATACAGAAGAAGGAATAAGCCAGTACCAAGTAGTTTAGGCGAAAAACTGTTTCCATTATAGTCTGATTGGTACATCGAAACGTATTTGTAAAGATAATGCTATAAGCATTCACTACTAGGGAAAAGCTTATACACGGATGCTTACTAGCAGCGCGGGTTTATAACCCTCGCTACTGCTACTTACTAGTAGTGTAGGTTTTTAAACCTTGCTACTACTAAGTTGATAGCAGTAGCGCGGGTTTTTAACCCTTGCTACTACTAAGCGGTCCCTACCGTGCCCCCCGGGACATGCCATAGTAGTAGCGCGGGTTTTTAACCCTCGCTACTACTAAGTTGATAGCAGTAGCGTTGGTTTTTAACCCTCGCTACTACTAAGTGGTCTCTACCATGCCCCTGGGCCATGCCATAGTAGTAGCAAGGGTTATAAACCCACGCTACTACTAAGTTGATAGTAGTAGCGCGGGTATTTACCCCTTGCTACTACTAAGCGATCTCAAACTGCCCCTCAGGGACATGCCATAGTAGTAGCGAGGGGTAAAAACCCGCACTACTACTAAGTACTGGGTTTTTTAAACTCTACCCCCCCCCTTAGTGGATCGCCTTTTCAGTTTTGTAAAAAGCAAAAGAAAATGATAAAACTTCAAAAATTAAAATCCTTCGAGATGTAGTTATGTTACTACATGTACTACTTAGGAAATTTTAAAAACTTAAATTTGGACATGTTTTGTCAAAAGTGTAGGGAAAATGTAAAACGGATATAACTTTTGCATACGATGTGAGAAAAAATGTATAATATATCAAAATGTTCAGCACGAAAATCCGCATCCAATTTTGACGGCCTACGGCCGGTTTGCAAATTTTTAGAATCCTCAAATTCTAAAAGGAAAAAAAGTTATGCTCAAATTTTAGTTTTTTTTTTAATTTTGGTCAAACTGTGGTCAAACTACTTATTCAATAAGTATTAGTGTTACTAAATAATTATTCAAGAATATTAGTGTTACTAAATAATTATTTTAGCTTTTTGGAATTTTGGTCAAATCTGGTCAAACTATGGTCAAACAATGGTCAAACTACTTATTCAAGAAATATTAGTGTTACTAAATAATTATTGTTTTTTAGAACAATAGTTTTAAACTCAAACAGTGAAATGTGTGACTTCATGCTCAAGCTAAACTCTTGAGGGTTAAGAGGATTGACATCTTACTTTTGTCAGAAAAACAACAAGTGCAGACTTGGAAACGAGGGAGAATAGAACCTGGAAGTTAAGCGTGCTCAGGCTGGAGTAGTGAGAGGATGGGTGACCGTCCGGGAAGTTAGATGATTTGGAATGATGAGGGGTGATTAGAGATTAGAGATTAAATTGAGTAGCGATGAGGGGTGATTAGAGATTAGATGTTAAAATAATTCAGAAATTTGAAAATTCGGGAAAAATTTAAAAAAAATCGAAAAAAATCAGA